GAACAGGGCTACAACAATGTAGAAGGTCACTCAAACCAGTTCGTAACACAACTAGGTCAAATATGCTAAATACTAACCCAGAATTCCTAAAATAGGTTCCCAAAACACAAAAAACTGTAATCGGTATATCTCAGTCCTTACAAGTCCAAATGTTGAAATTCCAAAGGCATATGTTAGCTAAGACACTTAGCTGCATTTCATCAGAAGACACCAACTCCAAAATCCAAACCAATACCAGTCAAAATGGCCAATTACTAACGCAGTTTTCGCATTCTATCCAAAACAGAACAGCTACAGTAATTTCGTCATATCTCATTCCACATTAATCTAAATGACCTGAAATTTTGCAGGCACATCAACCTCATCAATACCTACAACTTTAATGTTTTGAGAAAAGTCAAATTCGGCCTCTAACACAGTGATCTAAAACCGGACAGAATTGGGGCTTCAAGAACCCTAACTTTCCAATTTTCCATCCAAATCCAAAACTAGTTGCATTTTCCTATCCAATACACCTCATAGAGTCATTATCAACCATTACCATTCATCATGCAAAGCCACAACCTTCATTTCATATTAAACCAGAAAAATTCTCAATAAAATGAAAACTTCACCAAAACTCTTCAAATCAAGAAACAAATCACATTTTTACACACTCATGCCACTTCTAAGCATCATATAACCATCATTAGAGGTAGGAGGGTGTTTCAAGCAACACTTACCAAGAAATCAAGAGAAAGAGAGATATTGGACACCTTTGATCTTCAAACAAACCTCACCAATACACTTACTAACACTAGAAGCAAAGGTTTTATGGAGTAGAATCAACTCTAGACTTTGATTTGTGGTAGATTGGACCAAATGAAAGCTTGCAAAATGAAGAAGTCTCTTTCCTTTCTTGCTTAGAGAGGGCCGGCCATGGTGGAGAGAAAATGAGAGGATTTTAATGAATTTTTGAAGATATTTACTAATTGGGTCAAAAGTCAAAAATTTGTCAAAAGGTGAATAGTGTTTCTTAAGTCATGACCAATGAGAAGATGACATGTGGCACTCTATTAAATGCATTCCTATCTTTCTTTTCTCTCTCACATCAATCACTTCACACACTCCACTTATCACTTAACACCCGATAAATTTTACACAGTATCCGAAACTTAACCTTATAGGCCGAATTTTTCCGAACTTTTCGCACTAGTGGGTCCCACGTCCACTATTTACTCTTAATTTTCTAAAAACTCACCAATACTAGAAAAATCATCTTAAAACTATAATTGCTCATAAAATCCACTAAGAAAATATTTCTAAGCCAGAAAATGCAGAAAACATGCAAATAAGGGGAAATGAACCCTAGGGAAAATATTAGGGTTTTTACGGGTTCTCACACTTTCACTGATGTGATTTATTGCTTATTTGCATACTTGAACTGAACGGTTATGCTTATGTGATCTTAGCTGCTATGGTGGTTGTATTCTCACTGGGCATATAGTTCACCCCGTTTCTTTTGTTTTCCTTACAGTAATATGACAAGCATCTGGACATGAATTTATTCAGAGAATGACTGGTCAAATGCACTGGCACAGTTCCTATTGAATCAGTGCTAGGCGGCGGTAGAAAAAAAAAATTCAACAAAACCTACAAAGCTAGAAAATTAATTGCCACAACTAATGTAAATATGACAGTCAAAGCTAGAAAATTGTCTTGGTCGACAAGATTAATCCCTCAAGATAGGGAATCAAGTAGAAGAACGAAGCACCTAACTAAGCGACAACTTAGTTGCTACAATTAATATAATCAAGTCAAAGTTGAGCTTTGACGAGCTCGAGCTCGATTTTATTTTGCATTAGTCGAGTTTAAGCTCGAGCTCTTGCTCATCAAGGCCAATTGAGTTTAATCAAGTCTAATCCAGATTAAAAAATATAAATTTGTAGTGTTGTATATAATTTTAAATAAGGGACAAAATAGACATTTAATACTAATAAATAAAAAAAAATTAAAATCATATATATGTGAATCTCGATTGAGTTTGACGAGTTTTCGAGTTTCATATGTTAAGTTCGAACTCGAACTCGACTTGTCAAGTAATTCAAGCTGCTCGAACTCGAGTTCAAACTCAGTCAATAAGAGCTCCAGAGTTCGAGTTTAAAACTTTAACCAAGAAAACTCGCGAACTACTTGGACAAGACAAGCATACTCAAATTTGCAACTTTACAATAGGTGATCTGGATCTAACGTATAATATGCTTAAAAGCATTAAACACTATCTTGACTCCGGGGACAAGGACAAGGGATCTGTCTCAGCATGGCACTCTCCAGTCGTTACTTCAGAAGGGGGCCCAAAGAAATTAGGTAAATTATGGTACAATTATGTATACAATTAGTAAATGGTCATAAAAAATGAAAAAATAGGTAACTGCTCTTACCCTCATTGGAAGTGAAGAACAACAAAAGTCATGAAAAAGGCTATAAAGAAGCTAAATCAAGAACATGTATTATACTCTCCCTTGCATGCATATAACCAAAAAAATTCTTAGTATTGAGTCCATTATCATTGAACAAAAATAACACAGTAGATAGAAGCATATTCTTTAAGAATAGCAATCTAAACTATAATAGATAGATATTACAAAAGAAACACTTTCAGAATACTCATTTGGTTGATCCATTGTCTATGGATTAATAGAGTTTCAGCTATGTTTCTCACAGAGATTCAAACTAATTAAGTTAATATCTTTCATCCCAAACTTTTGGTTTGCAAGTCCCCAGGACCAGACAAGTTGAATCATATACAAAACTTGTTGTTTTGACATTCTTTTTTCTTTTCTTCGGAAGAAAAGTCGTTTGACATTCTTGATTAAGGACAGTATTGACTCAGATATGTTCTGTTGGATCACAAATGATACCTTTCCAGTATTGGGCATCAACAGAGAGAATCCCTTGGGTTTTTGTTGATTGTTTGCAAATGACATGCATCAGTTTAAGGGCATGAAAATAATTAATGCATATGGACTCGCACCTGATCGCTAATTCTTTCCACTGTGTCAAAAAACCCAACAAGATTCTTGCTGCTGAGCCACCTCCAAGTAGCGTGAAAGTACACAGGGATTCGAGCCTCCTCAATTATTTTTATTGAAGATGTAAGATTGGGTACAATTGAATATGTGCAGAGAAAAGAATTCACAGTATTAAAAATGTAAAAGTCATAATTCATGCTTACCTATGCGTGTGGTGTATTTATTGAAACGGCGACACACAGATGTATGCATGGGCAGCTTATTATTTTTAGGGATGGCAATGATGACGGGCACGAGAGAGTAACCGGGCTGGGGATGGGGTGAGGTGGGAGTTGGGACGGTGGGATTTTTTTTTTCTCCCATTTTAAATGGAGCGAGGGATGGGAAAGGATACCCTTGTTCCATCCCCGCCACTCAAATAAATTTTTAAAAATATATATACAAACACACACGCACATATATATACTTATGCAATTACTTGAATTCTTTTCCACGTAGTGTAAATTGTTTATCAAAAAATAAAAACAAATATGATGGTTATGAATTAGATTTGCTATTAAACATAGAGAATTGAATTCAAAAACATCAGCATGACTTTTAAGGTTGATTTCACATTGAATATTTAGTGAAGAATTTAAAAGAATGATTTATAAAATTGTTAATTATGTTATATATGTAGACAAATAATGTCAAAATAAAAATTTATAATTATAATTAGCCAACCATGAGAGCGCCCACACAGGCATGGGGTGGGGCGGGAATAAGGGAAGCTGGAGATGGGAATATGGGATGGCGGTGGAAGGAGATTTTAAAACATGGGGCATGATCTGCTTGGTTTGTTTACCCGGAATGGAAAGTGGAATCGACCAACCACATAATTTCATCTCTACAAGTCCAGTTTGTTTAAGATCTGAGCCTATACCACAGAAAACAAAACAGGGAAGATGCGGCTCCTCTTGTTTAATTGGGAATTGACCATAGGTCCTTAAAATTGTAAGAATTCTTAAGGTAGCTGTTAAAGTTTAAAATGAATTTCAGTCCCTCAATTCTCACCAATTCTGTGTATCTGCAAGATGATATATTAACACGCTCAAAAATGCTATCTTGATCTTTTAGAAGCAAACCATCTTCGGAGAGTTAAGAAAAGAAGAAAATGGAAAAGATTTCAAAAGCTTTCTTCTTATTGAAGAGGTTTGAAAACGAAAGAAGAAAAAGTACTTATTTTATATGTGACTTTACATGTATATTTAGTTGTTTGAAAGTATTGATATCCATTTGAAGGCAAAATGACACAGGAAGGAAAGCACAAATTTGAATATTCATGAGCACAAACAATACTTAAAATTTTAAACTATGAGTCATTTTTCTTTTCTCTTTTTTTTTTGCTGCAACGATAATATTTTCATAATCTAATCTATCCTGTTCTGTAGGGGGAGGGACCCTAAAGAGGTCGTGTAAAGGGTTAGCAGGTATACAGATTTAACTAGATCAAATGGGTGTTCTGGCACCTCCTTTAAATATTTTCACTGTATATAGGGTTCAAACCCCTGACATACAGTCCAAAAAAGGACTTAGATGGCCACTGAATGATTCATTTTTCGCTGTTGTCATTTGAGAGTTCCGTAAGAAAAGTAAAACTTGGATTGCATTTTCCGTCATTTTTCATGGAAAAATTACTGTAGCGATTTGATATATGTGAGGGAAAAAGGTAATAGGGAAATGTGATCACGGAAAACGACAATATTTTCCGACGGAAACAAGCAATCCAAGCATGGCAGCATTTCTTTACTCATGAATAAAATATGTAAATATCTCCTTAATGAAGTTGAATGTGATGAAAACGACAAGAAAGTTCTATAAACCAAGTGTTATTAATTTATATGTCATGAACAAAATTAGACCAAACAAGAACTTTAGGGACCAATTCAACAACTCACCACAAAACCACTCTATAAATATAAATCCTACCTGGTGTTATATGCTGCAATCAAACTCCCACTTGCCAGTCTCTATCCTACCATACTCCAAAACTCCAACTCAGAGCAGAATTTAGATTTTATTAGGCCATTTCTTTACTCTCTTCTCTGCATCTTCTCTGAAATGGCCGCTGCTACAGCTGGGCAAGGCATCAATAATGCAAGTTTCATGGAGCTTCAAGCCATGAAACACTACTCAAGCTCAAAACTTCCCACTTTTGGAAGGCGGTCCGCTAATATGTCCATTAAAGTAAGGCTATTGATCTCCCTCCAACCTTTTTTGCATGTTTTCACCAAAATTCCTTCTTGTTTTTTTATCGGTAAAAGGGCTCTTCTGGGCTTGACGAATTTTGCGTGTTATGACAGAGATATGTCTTTTCATCGTGTTCATTATCAATGAACGGTTGCCAAGGTGATGATCATGACCCAAGAGCTCCCATTGGAACCATTGAAACTCGGACTTTTCCCGCTGTTTCTACTCCGGCATTGGCCGTAGAAAGTCTCAACGCAGCCATTGCTGATATGCAATCACAGCCTTCAGCTTCTGACTCCGGAATCATCCGTCTTGAGGTTGGCTCCTACTGCAATAAGCTACACAAATCTTCACTTATTTTTTTTTTAAGGGTAATAAACAAAAAAAAACTCCTATGATGTAGCTATTCTATAGAAAAACCCCCTCTGGTGTAGTTATCCTATAGAAAAGCCGCCTATGATATTAAATCACATGCGTTGGTACCTCATGATTTAAAGTAAAGTGAAAAATTGATGGAAGCCATTAGATCTAACGTGTTTAATGTAAACACGTTGGAATTGCACGTGATTCTTTTGAAAAATAGTTTTTTACGACAAAATTTGATCTGATATACCTTTTTTGCCCTTCAAACCTTAATAAAATTACCATGGCTCTTCTTCAATTTCGCTCCAAACTTGTAGAAACTGACGATTTTTGCTTTATATTATTAGTGAATGAAATTGATGAATAAAAAATCGTTTGTTTTTTACTATTTTTGCTTATATTATTAGGGTATGTTTGTCATTTCACTCAAAACCATTTATTTTAACGATTTTCATCAATGTTTCAAATTATTTTAAACCATGAGATACCGACACGTATGTTTCTTATCCTTTTTTTCCCGTTTCTTTGGGGGGGAGGGGGGACCATGTGAGGGTTTCGTTTGTGAAAAATGAAAAGAAAATTGTTTGCCACGTGGTTGGCACAGGGAAAGAGGGCACTGGATAATGCAATCTTCTTTGCTCATATTTTTGCATGAATCACTCATAAACTCAAAAATTTGGATGACTCGATTGATTTCACCCCAAAAAACATACTTACCGGAAAAATAAGAGAGAAAAGGTTCAAGAAAAAGACAGAAAGTAAAAGGGTACAACATTTTTTCTTTTCTTAATCGATAGAAGATTTTGCACATCATTCTAGGAGTAGGAAAATGCCTAGGAGGGGTACTTCTTATTTTGTTGTTTTTTCTGAAATCGTGTTTATACAGAAGAATGTTGTTACTGTAGGCATTATCTTCCTAGGCATATCTAATAATTTACCTGAACTTCAATTTTCTAAGTTTTCAGACTGGGTCGTGGATGACTTTGTAATATTTTTAATTATTTTTGCTATATACATTAGTATTTTTAAGGTAGATTTTAGCACTAACTAATTTGAAAATAGCTCTTACTTTGGATCTTCTAACTCAAAAGTCATTAGTTAACAACTAATTCTAGTCAAACCTCCTGTAGGCTGGGAAAAATAGGGATGGACGCATGTCAAGTTTTCATTGATCAGAACCTTCAAAAGAACTTTCTGTGTATTTTACCTGAAGGTGTCAAAGTCAATTTGTTTTGGTAATTCATATGTCACCCTTCATATCTAAGACAATAATGTATTAAAATCTAGGATATGTTTAAGCTATGGCCTAAGCAAAGACCGTTGAAGATTGACTCGTCCAAACATTAAGGGTTAATCATCTGTCAACATTGGATAAATGACAACTATAAAATTCAACTTTTATACGTGTGGTATAGATTCAATGGTGGTAATATATATATATTGTTAATATACATAAGATTTGCTCAAATATTAAACCTATTTAAAAGAGTAACTTTTAATGTAGACGTTGCTGCATATATTAAAATTTATATCTTAAAAAGTATATTTATATAAATCCAAAAAAGTATATTTCAAGTGTTATATTTATAAGATGTACAGAATGTCAAATATACTTTTTAAGATATATTTCAGGTGTCATATTTTCATAAATGTAAGATTAATTGGGCAAAGTAAATAAATACAAGGGAGGGTATGTAAGATTAAATAGGAAAATTATATAAATGCAAGGGAGAGTAATAATTATTAGTATGTGTATATACATAGTAGATTAGGTAAATATTAGATGTGTTAACTGGTGCCCATAAAAAAACCCTTCTTTTTTATCTCTACTTCATCCGAAAATGAGTAGGGATGATGCTTAATGCAAGTATTTAAACAGGCAGCTATAGAATAAACACAACTTTCCATTGTCAAATTTGTTAGATGATATCATGTCTCCTGTTTGTACTCTCGGTATGAGTGGATGATTTCTTTAATTAAATCCAAGTTGAGTTAAGTTTTTTTGTAACAAAGATTGGTCAACTAAGTTGCTTAAGATACAATTGGAGTATTGGGAAAGATTTAAGGATGCAAAATGTTTTATTAGTCACCCTTAGAGTTTTGTACCTTACATTATATATATATATATATCAAGAAAAAAAGAGCAAAGGAGGGTTTAACAGCAATAATTAATCATTCCTTTCAACTTAATGGGGGTTAACATGCATCATGAAACATGTGCAAGTAGGCATTTTTACGAGTGGAAATCAAATGGGCCAAAAATTCCTGTTTGGATTGCTATATTTAGGAGTTTTTGTAAAATAATATATATACTGTAATGATTTAATTTAATATATATAAGATAAAATGGTGGTTGAAAAATATGTTCACGAAAATCATAAAATTCTTTTTTTTTTTATAGAAAACCACAGTCCAAACAAGGCCAGGCAGAAACTGACTGGTGTTTCACACAAATTAAATTCTTGAACGAGAAATGGTTTTCATAAAGTGAGAAATTAATTCATCCTCATCACTCCACCTACGGATTTGAGTGCGATAGTCGCCTTAAATGCTATGCAGTTGAATTCTTGAAATGGCATTGCTCACCGAGATAGAAACCGACTTAAGGCTAATTATTCCACCTTGGCTGAGGCAAAAATTATACTCCTAAGATAGTTTTATCAGTTTGTATAAATTCCTTGGTATATTTCGTAGTCATAATAGAAATTAGTTCGTACAAAAAAAAAAAAAAGAAATTAGCTGTGATAGCAACATCTTAAGGTGAATGAATGACTAATGTGATGAAAGAGGCAGAGTGGAATGATTGTAGCTGTGATAGAAAACAAAGGTCTCAATCATCACAAAAATAATATTTAATTGTTCATGCATGTCTACACCAATACAAAGTTTAATTCCTTAATTTTAGATGCATAATTGATTAATTTTTTTTTGTTAATAATTTGGTTTTTTTTGTGGAAAATAACTAAAATGATCCCTCATATTTTAAAAATCTTTTTCTAGTCCCTAACATGTAAAACAACGTAAAACGATTCCTTATATATAACAAATGTGCCAATTTGGTTCCAAAACCTATTACCAACGAAAAAATTTTGGCCCAAAAATACTCGTTCAAATTATGTGCATGGGCAAAAAAGAAACAAGGATACTATTTTCCACAAAAAAAAAAAAACCCTTCTATGGTCCATCACGTTTTCCCTTCCTAGATGTTGTGATGGGAAAACTTTTTTGAGGAGAATGTTATTCTTTTCCTCTTTTATCCCTAAAAGTATAAGCAAGTGACTTGGGCATGTATATGTTGGCTATAAATTTTGGTAGGAAATAGGTTTTGGAACCAAATTAATACATTTGTAATATGTGAGGGACTATTTTGCATTGTTTTATATGCGAGGGACCAAAGAAAGATTTTTTTTTTTTAAATGTAAGCAACTATTTTGGTTTTTTCTCCTTGTTTTTACTAATTTTCTTCTACCTTTCTATTTATAACATGTTTATGATGTATTTACTGCCATTAGCATAACTTTATTATAAATTATCTGTTTATGATTAAAAAGAAAAAGAAAACCTTGACACTATCTCGTAATATTTAATGTAGTATTATTTTATGACGGCTTCCTAATTGCATTACCAAATAATATTTTCAAGGGGTTGTTAAATTTTATTTCTAGTAATTTCTTTCTTTTATTTTTTGAGTCGAGCTATTATTCGCCCCATTATTTGTCGAACTTGGACTTCATCTTTCTAATCATAGCTCGGATGAAGTCATTTTCATCATTTTCTCGAGAATCTAAGAGTTTCTTAATTTTCACAGCCTCTTGAAGGAATAAATTGCTCGTAGGATATTTACTCCCGGATATCACATGCGTGGCTGCCCAAAATTTCTCTAACACAGAGCACACTTTTTCTGCTTTTTCCCAATCCTCATAAGCTGGACAGGAATCATAGAGTGGATCTCTATCTTGAAAACGAGGAAAAACATCTTTGAACTTCATAGCACAGCTTAGCATTTCGAAGGTGGCATTCCATCTTGTTCGACAATCATAAAGCAACTTTTTCCCGGGTATTTGAAGTTGTTGTGAAATCTCAGCGAACAACAATAATCTGGTCTCTGAGCGATTGACAAAATCGACGCTGTCCCTAATTTTGTTTACAATGTCCGCAATCTCAGAAAGGCCGACTTGAACAATAAGGTTCAAGATGTGCGCACAGCATCGAACATGAAACAACTTGCCGCCACCTAATAGTTTCTTCGATCTACTAAAATCAACCCGCAAAACTCTAATAGCCACATCATTGGCTGAAGCATTATCAACTGAAATTGTGTGTATTTTTTGCTCAATACCCCAATCCTTCACACACTTGAAGAGTGAAGCAGCAATCTCAACCCCTCGTCTAGGAGGTGGTATGTGAACAAAGTTGAGCACTCTCTTTTGTAGCTTCCAATCTGAGTCAATCCAATGGCCAGTAATAACCATATATTCGATCTTTTGATTTTTAGATTTCCAAAGATCGGTTGTGAGGCTTACCTTTTTCACATTTCTTAACTTTTTCTTCAGCTTCTTTTTCTCAAGTTCATAGACTGCCACACAATCATTTTTTGCAACTCCTCTAATGATCTTTTGCCACTCGGGCATGCCACGCTTTAGGAAAATATTCAAACCTTCTTCTTCAAGAATGGTGAAGGGATGTTCGTGCATCACAATCCAATGTGCAGCGGCTTCTCTCATTTTCTCCATGTCAAATTTTCCGGTATGCAACGGTGGTATAGAAGGAAATGCATCATCAGCCGGCTGAAAGTTCAGTTTCGTTTGTTGTGCAGCTTGTCTTAAACTTTCTTTTCTAGATGGACATGAGTTTCGGTGCCGCCACAAGCTAGTTGTTTGCTTTGATTTACCCCTCGATAGCTTTTTATTGCAGTAACGGCAAATGGCATAGTAATTGCCATTTTCTTCAAATTCGTTGAAGTCCTCCCAAGCTTCAGAAGTTTTATTCCGTTTTGGAATATGGAATTCATCATCTTCATCTAATTTATCATTTTCTCCTTCTTCATTGTTATCGTCAATAACCACAGCTTCTTGTCCTTCTTGTATATTACCAAAGGAGTACTTTGTGTAATTGGATTAGTCATCATGTTTCCTGGATTCATCGTTGACTCATTGGAGACAAATATTGGGTTGTCCAATATCAATGGAGTACATGAATCAGTATTGGAAACCAGTGGGATACAAGAAATCTCGGGTTGACTGCCCTTGTCTTGGGTTGACATCAGTCCATAAACACATGCAGTCCAAGGCTCCAAGCTAAAGAAAAACAACAAATTTTCAAATCAGGGCAAGGAAATTTTCAAGCTAAAGAAAGACACATCCATTAACGGAGGCTTTCACCATGAATTTCAGAGACTTTTAAGGTGTAAACAAAACTATTTAAAAAAAAACTTGCTCTGATAATTATTTAGAGAAGTTTTAGGCATATGAATTAAATAAAGAATACATTTTTTGAGGTTCTGCTTATAATTCTTTTCAGTAATGAAAAGATTAAACCTGCTACATTTCATTAATCACACTTTGATCATCAACAAATGTATAAATCTGTATTAATCACAGTAATCAGATGCTATGATATACTCTTCCTACATTTTTTTCAAAGGTTTAAAATAAAAACAACTTTCAACTGTCTCAAATATCTTTTGACTTACGCTAAAGGGAAAAGAAATTTCATACTTGTGTTGCTTCATCCCTGCTTTTTATCATACTTGGCAAATCCATACATACCTGCCCTTATACTTGTGTTGCTTCATCCCTAACTTTATACTTTTGTTAGCTAGGACCAACTAAACCAATTATAGAAAGTTCAAATATTGTTCTAGATATGCTAACATGGAGGTCAGATGACACGTACTGAAGAAAAACTTTAGGAGTTCCATTCTTAGAAACATGAACAATATGAAATCAGCAATGCTCATTAATCAATATGGTTGTTTCTTAGCTTTTGCTGGGTATCATGCTGTTGACGTGCCTTGGCAGCATTCAGACCTTTGCCAACAGGCTCAAGAGAAAACAAGTGATTCCTCTAGCAAAAAAAAAAAAAAAACCTTGCTCGTATCCAATTTATGAGAAATTGCACAGAAAGACAGAAATAATAAATCAATCTTTAACCCAAAATTCTCTCTTTGAAGACTCTTCACTAAACAGCCAGTGGGTGGCAGAGATTCAAGAGAAGGAGAAGAAAAAATAAAAGGTCGGAGAAGACGAGGAGGCTTTCATATCAGATGCACGGGTTGTGGTGACCAAATCTAAATACAATAACCAACAATTTCAGCAACAAGCTTAAAATACAAATTTTCCTCACGTTTTCCTTTCCAGTATGCTTAAATGCTTAATACATAATACAACCAAGTTCTTACCCGCATGCTTAATACATAAATTCAAAAAGGAGAAGGAGATTCTGAACTTACAGGCGGATTCAAAAGCTACCGGCGATGGATAAGCAAATCAATAGCTGCTCTGGGAAGCTTCAACGAGCTAGCAACAGAGACACGACTTGGGAGTTGGAAAGAGGAAGAAAGGCTCGATGGGAAATGGGAAATGGGAAGTGGGAAGTGGGAACTGGCTAAAAGGCTAGAAAGGCTAGAAAGGCTAGAAAGGCAGAAAGACTAGAAAGGCTGAAACTGAAAGGCTGAAAAGCTAGAAAGGCTAGCGATGGGAAGTCTGGGCGGGAAGTAGGAATTTTTTTTTTTTTTGAGCAAAACTCTCAGATATATATATGTGTATATAAATATAGAAAATCCACTGTCCAATATTTACATGATACGCAAGGGCAACGTATAACTTCAATCATTCCACAGCCTTCCCTTCCAAGAGACTCGAAAAGTCAGGAAATAGCAACAAAAGAAGGGATACTACAAGATTACAGCAGTCAAATAACAGAGGCTTTTTGGCACAATTTTAGCCGCTGAGTCTGAACCTTGTCTTCATTCCCATGTAACTGATATCATGGAGTTAGCAAGCCCTGATGCCTCGAATGTTAAATCTATGTTGTAGTCCAAGGACTTGGACCCAGGGATAGCTTGTGTCAAGCGAAATGGCCTTGTCTTGGCTTCCTCCAACTGAGAACAGCAGAATGACCACAGCAACTGAATTGGGAAGTAGGAACTTGACTATTCTTTTTAGTATAATTATCACTTCACCCATAATTATTCCTCAGAATTTATTTAATAATATTAGTAATTTTATATATAATTTTTTTTTAAATTTTTATGTGATACTCGATAAAGCTCGTCGAGCTTTCGAGTATCAAATTTATGGGCTCGAGCTCGACTCGATAGCTCTATCGAGCAGCTCGAGATCGAGATCGAGCTCGAGCTTTTGGACGAGCACATATCGAGCTCGAGTCGAGCTCCTCGACTCAGCTCCACCCCTACTTATATGCATGCGTAATCAAAGCCTTAAACGGAAAATAATTTTTTTTTCTTTATTTGAATCCCTATGTATATACCTAACGGATGACGACAGTCAACTGAGGAAGATTTATAATACCTTTGTAGTCAACTTCTTTTCGTGCTGTCCGGAACAGGAATTATAGCAATATTGGCTAATCTTATTATTTGCTTCTACCACAACCTGCTCAAATGCACCAATAATCCTATATATGATCAGCAAAGTTGATATGGAAGGGAATGAATTTCTGAAACTTTATACATTCCGTTCAATCTTTTGATATATTACCTTGTTTGTGCATTTCATTTTTTGGATGCCATCACTAGTAATCATATCTCCATTTTTTGTGATAAATTTGTGCTCTTCCTGCATTTCAATGGGTTTTCAGGGTATTATTAGACAATCCCGACTGTTCCACAAGGAATTAAGTAAGATTTGGAGTCTCTCCTTAAATAAAAGAAAAAATAAAATAAAATAAAGAATTAAGTAACGTGTGATAACAAGAATGTACCTGAAGCTTTTTCAAGACATTGGGGTATATTTGCCTATAAAATACACAGCCCACATAATCCATTAAATCGTTTCTTGGTTTTGCCTCATTCCATCCAGCCATCCTTACGCTTTTCCAACTCCTCCTTGAAAATCGCTATGGCTTTCTTCCGACACTATTGGAGCCAAGGGGGGCAGAGGGGGGCCATAGCCCCCCTCAGTTTTGAAAATTTTAATTCATAATATGTAAATATATGTGTAAAATAAAATTGACCCCCTCTAAATTTTTACAATTTTAGTTTATATTACGAGAGTTGATATATATATATATATATATATATGAATTAGTCATCGAGTTGATATATTTCTTGCAACAATTGATTATTAATTGCAAGAGTTACATAGCAGGTTTAATGATCATACCATGGAATTGCTTATTTTGAGCACTGCTTTAGATCCTAAAAATGGATTTATGCTGTTCAAGATTGATTATATTTGTAAACTTGCAGAGAAGTTCTATCCGAATGATTTTATGGAGCAAGAATTAGTACGTCTAAGAATAGAACTTCAACATTTTGAGCACGACATTCCAAATCATCCTGAATTGCATGAATTATCTGGTATTCATGAGTTATGTCAAGGTTTGGTGAAGATAAGAAAATCAGTGATATATCCTCTTATTGACAGATTGACTAGACTTGTTCTTACTCTTCCTATATCAATTGCAACTACAGAGCGGGCGTTTTCAATTATGAAAATAATCAAGACAAAACTCCGAAACAAGATGGAAGATAATTTTTTGAATGATTGTCTAACTGTGTATATAGAAAAGGAAGTTGCTGAAAAATTTAGCAGTGATTCAATCATAGATGAATTTAGTTCTATGAAAGTGCGTAGAACTCAATTTACTTCTAAGAAAAGATGTTGAAATTTCAAAGTATGTTATCATAACTTTTATCTTTTTTCAATTGAAAATATTTACATTTATATTACATGGTTATATATATATATATATATATATATTTATTGCACAAGTGACATATTGGAGAGCATCTTCTCATAATGTGCAAATTGGATGGTTTGTGATGTTATAAGATATTTAATCAAAAGTTATTTTTTTGATAGTTTTTGTTATGACTGTAACGCATATTTATGAATAGACATACCTTTATAATTAAATTTAATATTTGATATTTTTAGATGTCATATATTTAAATAGAAGAAAATTATTTTGAACATAATATATTAAGATAATTTTATTAGGAAAAAATTTTGGACCCCCCAAAAAAAAATCCTGGCTCCGTTGCAACGCAAATGGCATCAAGAATTTACAATGATTAAACTGCAAATTGGACTAAACTGGGAAGACGAAAAAGAATTTAAATACTTAATTGTCAAGAATTAACAATATCCTCTCTTATGTGTAATACATAAAGCTGTTAGTGGTATTAACCATCGGCCGTTCTAATGGGGGCGGGGAGGGAGTGCTGCCCCCCCCCCCCAAGATTTCAAAAATCCATTGGTGGCCCTTAAAATTATAGTAATTTTCATTTATACCTAGTAGAAATTAGATTTTATTGCCCCAAATTTTTTAAATCCTTCAACATTTCCTTAAAATGTTTCATCTCAATATTAGAATTTGCCCCACAAATTTTCAAAAATATACAAGAGTATTTTCTTAAAAGAACAGCCTTCCTAATATTGCGTCTAAAACCTTATTCTTAACTTCTAGTTCCGCTAGTGGTTTTAACCCTCTTAAAAGAGCAGCATATACTGCATATTGGATTAACAATCATTGTTAGCACTATAAGAGCAAACATGAAAACTACACAAGCTGACCCTGGAAAATTGATAGGCTGAATTCTTAATCCTTTTACCATTTCCTGAGGTAGCTTATCAAGGGTTTCCAAATGGACACCTCACCTGGCCGAAAGCCCACAAAATATTTACCGATGTTCTCAAAGATGACCTGAAGGCGGAAAATGAAAGACAAAACACCAGAGGTCTAGACATTATATTCAATGTTGTATATGCGTGAATTCTTGGCAATCTTTGTATTTAACTTGCAACATTTTTAGCTTCATTATATGCTACAAGTCTGCCCTTTTGTGCCCATAATTGTAGGGCTGCGACTATACGAGTCTGAACCATTGCAGCAATCCTGAAATATTCGGTACAAGTTTTGTGAGTTATCTAAGTGTTTTTGTTTAAATTATGAAAATTCATAAGCCATGCGATTTCCTTCTGGTTAATAATATAGTTTGACTGTAAAAAGTCAGAAGAATGCTCAAACCAATGAAAAAGGTAAAGTAACTGGACCATGCTTTATATAATGTTCGAGAGGAATTGATGATTTCCTTTTTTGAATTACCTCTATGGTTCTGCCTGTCATTGGGGTTTGGTTAGAGAATAGAGGGAATTTTATGGCATAAGGCGCACTTGAAGGCAAGGCCACCATTTATATGAATTAAGAGGACAAAGTACTGGTGGTTAATTCTTGGTTTTACTGCTGGAATGGAGGAAGAAAATAATTAAATAGTTCAATACCTTAAGGTTATTCTGTTCCTAAGTTTTCAATACAAATAAAAGATTGGTCATGTCTTTTGTTTTCGTGGGGATGGTTTGTTAGTAACAAGACGAAGAAGAAGACTGCTGATTTGGTCCAGTTTTCGGAATTGTTGCAAATTGCAAATTAGCCCTTGAAGTCTGGGTCAATTAGAATAGGGTAGCTAAAGTATATAAAAAACTTGTATTGTGGTTCAAAAATTTTGGAGTTGGACTAATTTCAAATTAAATAGCCTTCCTGCTTAAATTGAAAATAAGTTATTTTAAGAATGACCCTATAATTATAATTTAATCAAACCTAATGTTT